TTTTGGGGGGGCTTCAACCCTCACCCTGATTTCATATTTTGGGAGGGCTCATCCAGCCCTCTGATGTCACATTTTGGGGGGGCTCAGCCACCACCTGATATCAAATTTTGGAGAGGGTTCAGCCCTCCTCCTCTTGTTACATTTTGGGGGGTTCAGCCAACCCTTCGATGCCATTTTTGGAGGGGGTTCAACCCTCACCCTAATTTCATATTTTGGGAGGGCTCATCCAACCCTCTGATGTCACATTTTGGGGGGGTTCATCAACCCCTCTGATGTCACATTTTGGGGGGGTTCATCAACCCCTCTGATGTCACATTTTGGGGGGGCTCAGCCACTGTCTGATATCAGATTTTGGAGGGGGTTCAGCCTTCCTCTTGTCACATTTTGGGGGGTTCAGCCAACCCTTCGATGCCATTTTTGGAGGGGGTTCAACCCTCACCTTGATTTTGTATTTTGGGAGGGCTCATCCAACCCTCCAATGTCCCATTTTGGGGGATTCCTCCACCCCTCCAATGTCCCATTTTGGGGGAGGTTCTGCAAACCCTCCAATGTCCCATTTTGGGGGTTCCTCCCCCCCTCCCATGTCCCATTTTGGGGGGTTTAGCCCCTCTTCCAATGTCCCATTTTGGGGGGGTTCTGCAAACCCTCCAATGCCCCATTTTGGGGGGTTCTGCAAACCCTCCAGTGTCCCATTTTGGGGGGTTCCTCCACCCCTCCAATGTCCCATTTGGGGGGTTCTACAAACTCTCCCATGTCCCATTTTGGGGGGTTCCTCCACCCCTCCAATGTCCTATTTTGGGGGGGGTTCTGCAAACCCTCCATGTCCCATTTTGGGGGGTTCAGCCCCTCTTCCAATGTCCCATTTTGGGGGGGTTCTACAAACCCTCCAATGTCTCATTTTGGGGGTTCAGCCCCTCTTCCAATGTCCCATTTTGGGGGGTTCCTCCCCCCCTCCACTGTCCCATTTTGGGGTGTTCCTCCCCCCCTCCACTGTCCCATTTTGGGGGGGTTCAACCCTCGCCCCGATGTCACTCTGGACCTGCACCTGTCCCTCTCCCTCGCCGGCCCCGTGCCCTGACAGGGCCAAAAATAACTTTTTGGCGAGCTCGTCCTTTGCCTAAATTAGTCATTAGGGTAGGTGGAAATGTCACCCCTTTTGACAATTCCCCCTGGGAAGGCTCAGAGGTGTGTGTGGATATAATTAAGTCGCCTTTTTTTCCTCCCTGTCTCTCCCTTCCATTCCTTTATTCCCCAATTCCCGTTTGATTATTTGAAACCAAGAAGGAAAATTTTCCTCTAAACTTCTGCTAGGGGGGAAAAAATAAAAAAAAGGGGGAGGAAACTTAATTTTAATTTATTTTTTTTTAATTCCTTTCAGTCAAGCTGTTGGGAGTGTGGAGAGGCTGAGCAGTGAATCCACCCAGACTGTCTCCCTTTGACTCTTTAGGAGGAACTTTTTGGAACAGTTCATTTTATATATGTTTATTTGACAAAGCCCTAAAATATTATATATCCAGTGAGTCTCCTCCTGCACAGTTTATTTAAGTCAAGTAAACCTTTTTAAGGTAAGTTCAATCAACCTGAGCTACTTTCTCACCCCGTGCTTTAATTTGAATTATTCCAGCTGCTTCTAAAATTGTCTCAGCAATACCAGGTGAAGGCAGAGCTACCATCAGCATTTTTTTTTCTCTCTCAGATGTAAACTCTGTAATATTTAAATAATATCTTGCCTTCAATCACCCAAATCATTGTGTGCCTTTATAAAATCACTCTGTGGCAGGACGAAAAGACCACTGTTAAAAGTATTAAAGGTTCCTTGTCCTGCAGCAGGTTGTAACTGTAAAAAAAATTTAGTAACACCAAAATTTAGGGGTTTGGGGTCCTGTTGGGTTTCTTTGCAGCTTTGGGGGCTGCAGAGCTGATCCTGGCCCCGTGTCCTTGTCCCAAGGGATGAGTGGGAAGCAGCTGGACCATGGGATGAGTTCCCTGTGCCCACAGCAGTGCAGAGCTGCTGCTTTAATTCTGATTTTTGGGTAGTACCTCCCTCACCTGCTCACTGGCTGGGAAGTGTTTTGCCTTGAGCTTTTCAGCTCTTGCAGTAAAAAATCCAAATATCCAGGATTTCCCCCCTAAGAATCCAAGGGAAGGGTTTTTAACTCCTAAAAATGCCCCCTCCCCAGGGCAGGGTGGGCACAGCTCCAGCCTCCCAAACTGTGCCTAATCCAGATCCAGACACCCTTTTGGGTGTGGGGGGCACATTTTTTGGAAGTTTTCCTATAAAAATATAGATATTCAGATGTTCCCTTAGCAACAGGGTTTCTCTAGGATCCTACAGAACATTTTGGTGCAAATGGCACCTCCTTTGTCCCATTATCCCCTTATTAATCCCCCCAGTATTTTATGGATACTTTTCCTGAAATTATGCAACCATTTAACAACATCAGCTTTTATTCAGAGCTGCTCCCAAGCTGTTAATTGTTTAAATTCACCTTGAATTTTTCTCTTTCAGACCTGAGGAAAGTGTCTGTGGCCTAAACCCTCCTTTGTCTCGCCCCAGCTGTGCCCGTTGGGCTAAAAATAATTAAAAAAAGAGGTTTATTTTTCTCTACAAAGCTGTTTTCTGCTCCTCAACCACGAGGCCAAGGCCCAGGGCTTTGACCATGAATAAACAAGAGCTGCAAATTAGGAAATTATTAACTGCCAGAGGTCAAGATTCTGGAGGTCTTGCAAGTGAAGTGGTGGAAGGCAAGAAAAGAAATCGGGTTTAAAGGTAGAACCTGATAAATTTGTGGCTGGGAACAGAGCAAATGAGCTTTTCCAGTCTTAATTCTGGGTGATTCCACTTATTTTTTATGGTCAATATTAATGGACAATTGGTTGTTCCCAGAGAAACCACTTGTAATTACACTTTCACCATCTTTTCCAAGGTAAAGTGGTAATTCCAGAGGAATTTGGAGCTTGGATTCTTGGATTGGAGTGAGCCCTGACTCCCAGGGAAGCTGCATTTCCAGAAGCTTCCCAACATTTCCAGTGGGGAGTCCCCACATCAACCTCTCAGCTGGGAAAAAAAATGGGAAAAACTGCCCTAAAATCACCTCCCTGCTCGACATTTTGATGCCCTTTTATTGCTTTTCCCTCCCATCCCTGAGCTAGGAAAGTGTCTGGGTTAAGAAACCAGATTCCAGGGATTATTTTGCCACTTTTGGAGAGGGAAAAAAAACCCCAGGAGGCTCCAAAGTTGTGTTGGAGTCCTAAAGGGACACCGGGCTCTGGTCACCTCTGCTCCAGTTCTTCACACTGGAGACCTGCTCATCCAAATATTTTTGGAACATGCTGCCCTCAGGAGTGAAGTTTGGGCTCTGCCCAGCTGGATTTGCCAGGGGGAAACACGGTTCAGGATTCCAGGTGGGGTTTTTATCCCTGGAAAATATAAACAATGGATTTCCAGTGCAGGGAGCAGACAATAACTGTGGCAGGATCTGGCTGAGCTGTTTGGGATCAGGGAATTCCAGAGCATCCTCCCACTGTCTCCACAAGGAATTATAACACACTGTTTCTTCTCAAAACAGGAGGGATGAAGGACAGGAGGCACATTTATTGCTGTGGTGTGTGTTTTGTTTTTAATCTCACAGCTGCAAATCTCATTCCTGTCAAGCACAAAAGCTCTTTTTTTGGTTTAAAATCTCCTTTTTAAACCTTTTTTGCCCCTCACCGCTCCAAATCTCATTCCTGTCAAGTGCAAACCTCATTTTCCCTGGGTGTAAAATCTCCTTTTTAAACCTTTTTTCCCCCCCTCACTGCCCCTGTGGACATTCCTGCCTCTCCCTGAGGTTGGTTTTAAGCTCCTTGCCGTGGTTTTTTTGCCCTCAGCCCCCTCTCCCTGCTCGTGCCCCCAAACATCCCGGGAGGGGAGAGGTGGCATTCACCCACATAGCTCGAATTCCCAAATTCCTGACTGTTCCCTTTGGAGGTGCCATGTGCCTGCCTGTTTTTGGAGCTCACATTCCAGCTGCCTCCTGGCTCCTTCCCTCCTCAGTGACACTAATGGTGACACTTCCACTCCCCAGACACCCCAAACTTCCCCCAAACCGTAAAAACACAATTTATGCAAACAACACACGTTCAGAAACGCTTTTTTTTTGGGGTGAGTTACATTTTGGGCACCTCAAACTTCCTTTTTTTTGGGGCTTGTTTATCCCCCAGCTGCGTTATCTGCCCGACACTTTACTCACACAAATGCCATTCACCACCGGGCCTGAATCAAAGACAGGGAATGTTCCCTCTCTCCCCACGTTATTTTTAGGATACTAATGTTTACTAAAAGGGAATATTAATCTTCTTTGTTAAAAAAGGGAGCTAAATTTAGCAGGAGGCAGTTGAAGAACCGTGGAGCCACCGGGGTGGTGTTGCCCTGGGATGGTTTTTGGGTGCCCACTGACCTTTCTGCTGCCCAATGTGACTCATCCCTCCTGCAGCTTTCATTCCCAGATTTAAATCCCTCACTAATCATAAGACATTGTTGATGGCCCCAAGGTTAGGCCAAGGTTCCTTGTCAGAGGCAAGGAATGAGAGTCATTTTCACTCAGAAACATTGAAATTTGGGGTTTTTTATTCTTTCCAGAACGTTGGGTGGCTCCTTCTCCGAGGCCTGGGGAGGTTCCTGAACCCTCCCTGGAGGAAGGTGGATTTTAATTGGAAAGAAAAATAGGAGAACATCATGAGAGCAGCACTTTGTGAACCTCCAGCAGCTCACAGTGAGGAAAATTTGGGTAGTGGAATAAGAAAGTTAATTAATGTGATGTTGGGGTGTCCTGTGCAGGGGTGAAGTTGAACTGGATGATCCCTGTGGGTTCCTTCCGACTCAGGATATTCCAAGATTCCATGAAAAGCCTGAATGAAGAACAAGAGGGTGAAGGGAATAAAAGGAGCAGATTAATCTGAAGGGAGAGGGAAGGGAAAAGTGGAGCCCAGGGGCAGCCAGCTGGTTAGGGAGGAATTCCAACCAGAGATGGAGGAATCCTTCTGGATTCTCAGTTCCCAAAATATCAGATTACACAGGTGTTTCACTCCCCACACTGCTCTTCCCAAACTTTTCCTCCCTGGAGCCCTTTGGAGCTGGTGACTGTGATGCTCCAAGAAAGGCCCTTCCCTCGAGTCCAGTGGAATTTTGTGTCATGGAATTCGTGCCTAGAGAGGCAAAAATGGGTAAAATATGCAAGAAATGCCCTATTTGGGGATCTGTGTGGTGCCAGGTAACCACTGCAGTAATTCCAGGGATAAATCTTTACAAAGATGCCAGAAATGTCCAGTGTCACTGGACAGCTGGAATGTGTTTGTGGATGTTTGACATTAAATTATATTGCTGTAAATTAAAGTAGCAAAGAATTAAAAGCATTTTTAAAGAGTAACAGAATTCCAATTTTTTATCTCTCTGGTTTATATTCCAGGAGAGGAAATGTCTAATTTTACTCCTCACTTTTGGCCAGTGTGGGCTGTGCTGATGGATGAGAGGAGAGGGAGCAGGAAAATGAAGGAGGAGAAGGAATAAAACATGGAATAAGTGCTGAGGTTTTTCCCAGCAAACACACAGGGAAGGAGCTGAGCTGGGAAACGTGTTGTCAGCATGACATGATCCATCCAACATTCCCAAATATTCCCAGGTAGGTTTGACAGGCTCTTCCAAAGCAGCCTGAAGAGGGAACAGAGAGACAGCAGAGGGAACTTTCCCTTCTCCTGCTGTCAAAATTCCTGGTTGGAGGTTTCCCTGGCCCTTGTGCCTCTGGAATTCCCAGCCCACCATCCTCCCACTGCACCTGCCCCTTTGGAGACACTCCCTGTCCCAGGGGGAATTCCTGAGGGGAAGGATTCCAAGGAGAAGCCCTTTGGGTTGTTGGAGCTCCAAAAAAAAAGGAGCCTCAAGAGAGGAAATAATTCCTCTGGGATGGGGGAGAGGAAAGGAAACCACAGGATTCCTGTTTCTCACCCACAGGAGGTGCATTCCTGGATAAATTATCACTTTTACACCTTCCTACCAATTCTAAATGTTACCAATAATCTTTCTG